CATCTTTTTTAAAAAAAAAAAAAAAAAAAAAAAAGAAAGTGGCATTTGACACATACTTTTAAGTGCAGCTGATGTGTTTAGTATGTTGTTGGAGAAACTTAGGAGTGTATTATTAGTGTGATTCAATTTGGAAGTATTTAAAGAAATAAAAGGGAGATTTAGAAGCCGTCCATCTCTGTGACAGGCCGTATGGTATTATGGGGAGGGCACCATTATGGTTGGCCCTGGTTCTGGCCTCTGAACTCATTAGCCTCAGGCCTGTGTGGGCCAAGGCAGGGGCTAGTGGGCCGGCTGCCTGGCTTCTAGGGCTCCCCTTTATTGTCCCCTCTGCCATCAGATGCCATTCGGCAGAGCAACCAGATGCTGCGGGAGCGCTGTGAGGAGCTGCTGCACTTCCAGGTCTGCCAGAGGGAGGAGAAGGAGTTCCTCATGTGCAAATTCCAGGAGGCCAGGAAGCTGGTGGAAAGACTGGGCCTGGAGAAGCTTGAAATGAAGAGGCAGAGGGAGGAGGCCCTGCAGGAGGTGGAGCACCTGAAGAGGTGCCAGCAGGTAGCTGTGGGGGGTAGGCCTTTTCCCCTGGTGAGCTGGCAGCTGAAGCCCCACCTGTGCCACCAGCTGCCTGCTTTCTGAAAACCCACAGGGTATTCCCAGAGGCAACCTGTGGCCAGGGGTCCCCAAGAGCACCCTCAGGCTTGGTGATTCTCTGGGAGGACTCTCAGAACTGAGGACAGCTGTCACACTCGTTGTGGCTCATTACAGTGAAAGGGCACGGGTGGAAATCAGCAAAGGCACAGGGCAGGCTCCAGGAGAGATCGGTGCGAGTTTCCAGGTGTCCTCTCTGGGGGTCGCCTGGACAGTGCTTACCTCTCCCAGCAACGGAGTGTGAGCAACAGTGTATGACATCATGTGTGGAGCACTGCCAGCCAGGGACCCTCACTCAGGCAGGGATGTCCAGGGTTTTTACTGGGGCCAGTCGTGTAGGCGTGGAGCGCCTGTGTGGCTGACCTTGGTCACTCAGGCTCCAGCCACCCACGCGTCCAGGTGGTACCACGTGGCCCAAGGCCCCCACCCTGAGTTATGTCGTTGGTGCAGATTACCTGGCAGGGCCCAAGGCCCGCAGACTACCTGGCAGGGCCCAAGGCCCCAGGTGCACAAGATGCTCTCTTTAGGCAGGATTTTCCAGGGGCTCAGAGGTTACCCCCAGGAGCCAGGTAGGGGCCAGACCTGCCTTTGGAAGGAGAAGGGTATGGCCCCCAGGCCTCTGAATTGGCCCCGTGCTACACAGAAACCCCAAAAGGAATGGATGCTTAGTGTTTTCTAAAGGGTGTTTCAGGGCCTTTCTGTCTGAGCTCGGCTGGTCTCAGGATCCTGGTAACAGTAGTTGAGAAAGGGGCGTGCTGCCTAGGAGGGGCGGAGGGGGAAGTGGTGGAGAGGAAACTTGCTCGCAGATGGGGCTTACTGCAGCCAGGCTCCCCTCCCTTGAGGAAAGGTGTAGACTGGGGGACTGTGGAGCCAGCGTGACTCACTGCTTGGAGCTCCTGGCTTTAAGGCGTTCGTTTCCCATTTGGAGAAGTGTATGCGTTTTCTATGGAAGCCATGAGATTTTGCAGTTCTCAGTATTTAACAAGATTCAGTATCCACTCTTGCTTGCAAAAACTCTCACCTTCTAGTGGCCCTGGGCCTGTGGAATAGAGCATGTATTTTCTTTGCTGTCTTTGTATCTTGCCTTCTTTTGCACCGGATCTCACAGAGGGTGAGATTCCCTGCTGGGCCACCTCTGCAAGCTCTCCTGGGTTAGCCCTCATGGCCTGGTCCTCAGGGCAGTGGCTGAGCTGTCAGCAGCCTCAGGAGACTCAGGGCACCTTTGTGCTTCTGTGTCCCTTTGGGATCCTGTGTCACTCCACCTGCAGGGGTGTGGAGGTGTGGGCGCTTGGGACTCCTTCCCTTTCCACTGCCTCAGTTGCCTTGCTGGGGTTGGCAGCTTCTGGAGGCGAGGAATGAGATGAGTGAGGGAAGAGTGGGTGGGAGGGTGGGGAAGGTCAAGATGGGGGACTTAGGAGGATCAGGTGGCCATTGGGCTCATGGGGCCCCAGGGGCCTGGGTTTGGGGCTACTGAGGGCAGGAGAGAAGTCCTCAGGGTGCACATACCTCAGCTGCTTGCGGGCTGGCCCTGGGGCTCGGGGATGCCACGAGTGGGGAGCTGGGGAGAGAGCAGCGCTGACAGGAGGTGACTTTTTCTCCTGCAGCAGATGGCTGAGGACAAGGCCTCAGTGAAAGCCCAGGTAACATCCTTGCTGGGGGAGCTCCAGGAGAGCCAGAGTCGCTTGGAGGCTGCCACTAAGGAACGGCAGGCTTTGGAGGGCAGGTGAGTGGGGAGGGAATGCCCACCCCAGAGGCCACTTCCAGGGTTTTGAGAAGAATGAGGTGGGTCGAGGGGCCTCAGAGAGTTTCCTCTATGAGAGGGCGGACTAGGACACGGCATGAACTCCTGGGGCTGTTGGGGCAGGTGCTTGTGGGCTCTCTGACCCTTTGCTGGAGTTTGGATTATTTCCTTAGGAGGCATTTCAGGGGCTCTAAGACCACACCCACGATGCGTGATACTTGGGAAGGACCCACAGGACCCACCCCACAGCCGCCCTCATGGCTGAGGTTCATTACAGGGAAGGGGCACAGGGTGGGCTCCACCATGGTTGGCACCCCAGGTGGTCTGGAGAAGCCTCACTTCAGGCTCCTTCCTCCCCTTCCTCTGTGAGGGCACAGTGAAGATGCAGCTCACGTGAGCCATCTTCCTGCTCAGGGACGCCCACTAGAGACTTGGCAGCCCAGGTTTGTATCAGGGGCTGGTCACGTTTGCACCTTCTGCCAGGCACATAACAGAATTTCCGACTCCCAGCAGGAATGCGGTTGTTTGGCGTAAACTGCATTATTTGTATAAACACTGTAGGTGCAAGGACCAACCCATTCCATTGGGAAAGTGCCATAGCATTGAAGGGACTTGCACCAGCCAAGGGCCAACCTTACAAGCTAGTGGCCTCAGGCCTGCCAGTCACACTCTTTTGCAAAGGAATTTTGGTTCCTATAAGTGGGATCACTGGGTCAGAGGGCAGGGTGTTTCTGTGGTTCTCACACCATCCAGCTGCTGCCCTCCAGACAGATGGGTCCAGGTGGCAGGGTGGCTCCAGCCCTCCCAGCACAGTAGGTGGGGGTGTGCTTGGGGCAGTCGTCAGGGACGCCTTCCTGCAGAAGGGTGGGGTGACTTGGGCTCTGATGGGCAGACAGAGCCTGGGCAGGGTGCAGCGCAGTGTGAGCAAAGAGGACAACACCAGACGGCCAGGCCCACCCTGGCACAGGTGGGGTGACTGAAGTGGGGCCCCGGCCCACACGGAAACACCCACCATCTCTCTGGCAGTGGGAGGATGAGGCTGGAGCCTGGAAACTAGACTAAGGGAGGTGGTAGGGTGCTGTGGGCCCTGATCAGGTGGTGAGACGGCCTGAGCTGTTAAACCGAGTGTGGAGGGAGAGAGGAACTCCCTGCCAAGGCCACTGATGTCATGTCCTGACCCAGGTGTGGGAATTAAGCTGTGGGCGGCAGCAGGGCCAGGGTCAAGCCTTGGTGGGCATCTCCTTGCTGCTTGTAGAACAATAGTCTCTCCTGATCCCCCTCCACTGAGACTTCTCTTGCTGCGGCCCCTAGCACCTACCTGTCGGAACCCTGTGAGCAGTTCTCAGGGGTTCCTCTCATGTGGCCCTAGCAGCATGGGACACAGGTGCCCCCATCTTCTTGGCCTCCTACTGGTTCCCAGGTCTTCTTGCAATCTACCCTTGGTTGCAGCTGGATTCGTGCATTGAAGCAGACGCATCTCAAGTGGAGCTCCTTATCTGCCACTCCACACCTGGTCCCCTACAGTTGTCCCCGTCTCTAGTGACAGTGCCTCCACCCTGACACCTAGAGTCAGCTTGCAGTCCAGGATAAACCTGGCCCCTTCTCCCTGCTACCCTGCTTGTGGTGTCCCTCCCCTCCCTCCTGCCTTCAGTCTGATCTCCTTTCCCCATGCCAGGGTGCGGGCAGCCAGCGAGCAGGCCAGGCAGCTGGAGAGTGAGCGGGAGGCGCTGCAGCAGCAGCACAGTGTGCAGGTAGACCAGCTGCGCATGCAGAGCCAGAGCATGGAGGCCGCCCTGCGCATGGAGCGCCAGGCCGCCTCGGAGGAGAAGTGAGTTGGCGGGAGAAGTGGTATGTGGGGGACAGCAGAGGGCCCGTGGTTGTTTCTGCCTTCCAGGGAGCCCTTATATGGCGTGGCTCTGGGTGAGGGCCTCACTAATGGTAACGTCAACCATTATCACACCCAAACAATTTATCTTTGATATGATGATATTATCTGTTGTCAAGTCCACATTTGCATTTTATCCCGCACTTTTTTTTTTTTAAACCCCTTCCCCCTCGCACATGTTCTTAAAAGCTCTTCTACCACCAGTTGACCCAGGGTCCCAAGTTCCCTTCCTTGGCATGCCTTTTGAATCTCCTTTTTTTTTTTTCCTTTTTGTCTTTTTTAAACCCCGGCAACGGATCGCAACCCTCAGTGTCGCGCCCGTACTGGACCAGGACCGGCAACGGGATTGCAACCCTCGGTGTTGCGCCCGCACCTCGCTCAGCCAGTGAGCAGAACCGGTCTGTATGTGGGATCCGAACCCTCGGCGGGAGCGCCACCGTGCTCCCAAGCGGCGCACTGTAGCAGTGCGCCACCGGGCCGGCCCTGAATCTCCTTTAATCTAGAACAGTTTCCCTGCCTTTCTGTGTTTTTCATGAAGTTGAAATTTTTGAAGAGTGAATGATGGTTCCATTTTGTTATAAACATTTTAAAATGTTAGCTTTAAGGAAAAGGATATTAACTACTTAGCAACCAATCCAGTCGCAGTAATACTTGCCTCAGAGTTGACGGCCTTAGGAGTCCAAATGTGGCCTTGGAAGCCGAGGTCTGTAACGTGACAGGGAGGGAGAGGGTAGTGTTGGAAGCAGGCAAAGCTGTGGCTGGACTAGGACACAGTGGTTTCTCCAGCGAAAGCTCCTTTTCCTCAGGAGGAAGCTGGCCCAGTTGCAGGTGGCCTATCACCAGCTCTTCCAAGAATATGACAACCACATCAAAAGCAGCATGGGGGGCAGTGAGCGGAAGCGAGTGAGTATGGCTGGCCTGGGGATGGGGAAGAGCACGAACCTGGAGACTTAACAGAATTGGCTTTTGGGAGGGACACTCCACTTGTGCTAGACTTTCATCAGGACTGTAGCTGTGACAGTTCAGGGATGGCCATGGGGAGACGAGGACACTTGGGCCTTGCTGCCTACAGGATGCTCTCAGGCGCATCAACAGGCCACACCCTCAGTGTGCTGGGCCAGGCCTTCAGGATACTTTCTCTGTGGGGCTGGGGACATGCTTGTTTCCATAGCCATCCCCTCCTGCCAGCTGTCACCTGCTTGGCTCAGCCCTGGTAGTGTTTCCATCCCAGAGTCAAAAGGTGGCTGGGAGTGCTTTTCTAGTTTGTCCTCATCAGAGCTAAACTGGGTATGGTTTCTAGTGATCACATTTTAAGAAGGACATTGTCAACCCTGAATGTACCCAGAGAAGATTTATAAGGATGAAGCCTGAAATTAGATCACCTGAGAAAGAGTTAGTTACAAAACTGACCACTCAGTCTCCAGAGGGAAGTCTCGGTGGGGTGTGTGTGGGGGGGACAAGGTGGCAGAGTGGAAGGACTGATCGGTCGTGGTTTAGCTGTGCATGCGGCAGGCAAGCAGTTGGTGGAGTGTTAGTGTGCGGGATCGGCTTACTGTGGAGTGGGCAGCCTCAGGAGGGAGTGGCCCTTGTCCCTTGAAGCGATGGAGAAGGGCTGTCCAGCTAGGGATTCTGTGAAGGGAATGTCTGCTTGGGTGGGAGGTTGTGCCAGATGACCTTGGAAGTCTTGGTCCTGAGATTCTTGTATGTCATGCGAAAAGCCTCAGGGCCGAGCCCGTGGCGCACTCGGGAGAGTGCGGCGCTGGGAGCGCAGTGGCGCTCCCGCTGCGGGTTCGGATCCTATATAGGGATGACCGGTGCTCTCACAGTGCTCACTGGCTGAGCGCAGTGTGGCTGGTCTCAAAAAGGACAAAAAAAAAGAAAAGCCTCAGCATTTCTTCTGCTCTCTTGGGCTGTGACAGATTGCAGCCTTCTTTGTGCACACCTTGAGATCTGGTGGTTGGCCCTCAAAGCCAAGGGGTGGGCATCACCCACCTCGTGCGAGCCGGGGCTACTCTTTCCTCCCTCCCAGTTCTTCTCACCTGGAGCAGTGGGAGGCGGCTTGGCCCCACCCTGGGCTGGCGAGGCTCCGTCAGCTTGCCTTTGCCCATCTCTAGGGAATGCAGCTGGAAGATCTCAAGCAGCAGCTGCAGCAGGCCGAGGAAGCCCTGGTGGCCAAACAGGAAGTGATCGACAAGCTGAAGGAAGAGGCCGAGCAGCACAAGATTGTGATGGAGACTGTTCCGGTCCTGAAGGCTCAGGTGGGGGCTCTTCTCTGCAGCGCCTCTGGCACTGGGACCTGGCGTATCTCTTTGGCATTATTTTGTGGTAGCCTCTTTTAAGGTCTCCGAGCCCCTTGTGCTGTTCTTTGACCTTTCTGTGCACCTGAGGTCTCTCACTAATGTATCCGCTTCCTGTGTGCTGCTGTGGGGTCTGCGAGGGCAGGAGTGGACTCTCCTTCATTCCCCTGGTGCTCAGCACAGAGTGCCCGATGGGTGGCCAGCGGACAGTGGCCATGTCCCTCTCTCGGATTTCCCAGGCGGATATCTACAAGGCGGACTTCCAGGCTGAGAGGCAGGCCCGGGAGAAGCTTGCTGAGAAGAAGGAGCTTCTGCAGGAGCAGCTGGAGCAGCTGCAGAGGGAGTACAACAAGCTGAAGGCCAGCTGCCAGGAGTCGGCCAGGTGAGCCTCCAGGAATGTGCCTGTACACGACATTGGGTGTCACTGGTAGTAACTGCAGGAGACTAATGGCTCCTGACCTTCCAGGTTAGGGTTTGCTGCACCCCCTTGTCCTGTCCTTCCACCCCTGTGCTTCCACCAGCTAGGAGCTTTACAAAAATGCATGTACTGATGGGATGGTTTCTTTTTTCAAAGGATTGAGGATATGAGGAAGAGGCATGTAGAGGTCTCCCAGCCACCCCTGCCTCCCCCGCCAGGTGAGTGGGTGAGCATTGGGCCTGCAGGTGGAGGTGGGTGGGGAGGGTCATGCCTTGGCCTCCCTGTTGTTCTCACTAGTACTGGCTGCCCCCATCAGTAGCCCATGCCCACCCTGATCACACATGGGTGGTGAACCTTCTGATCCCATGTGACAGTCCCATCAAGTCCCAGCACCTCTCTACCCTCCTCTTGCCTGATTTGTACCGTATAGCAGCGCGTGTTCTCTTTCCCCAGCTCCTCACCACTCCTTTCACCTGGCCCTGCCCGGCCAGAGGAGAAGCCCCCCTGAGGAACCGCCCGACTTCTGCTGTCCCAAGTGCCAGTATCAGGCTCCTGATATGGACACCCTGCAGATACATGTCATGGAGTGCATCGAGTAGGGCCAACGAGTGCAAGGCCACCTGCAGATGACATGCCCAGGACCATGCAGTCAGTGCCTTCCTCTCCTGCCTGCTTAGTCTGAGATTAAGGACTAGATGACAGAGAGTGGGCTGCTGCTTCAAGCCCCAGGAGCTAGCTGCAGGGCCTCTTCCCCTCCCCACCAGGGAGCTCAAGGATGGAAAAATTCATACTCTTTTCATTCTATTTTTCCATGAACTTCTTGAAGCACCCTCATACCTTTTCCTGCTTTGACTTTGCTATTAGTGTTTTTTGGCCTTGAACTTTTTTATCTTCATGTAGTCACATTTATCCATTTTTTTCTTTCACTGCTTTGGGTTTGGAGTTGTGGTCACCTCCCAGTGTGACAGAAGGATGCTTCACACATGTACACTTTCCTTTTTCTGACACCCGAAGCATGCTTGTCTTTGTCAAGAGCATTATCGCCCAGTGAGAGCAGTGGTGACAGTGTTTGATCACATTCTAGGAGTTTGTGATGCCGTTTCCTACACTAGCCCCAAATGCTGTTGCCTTGCAAATTGAAGCCACTTGATGGTGATTGGCGGATTATGAATAACAGAGGACTCTTCTCTTGTTTTGCAAGGTTCTGGACATTTCCTAGGATGTCAAAGCTGTGGGCATTAACCCTGTAAGGGAAAGGAAGTCGGGAAGGAATGCAACGTGTCTGCACCATGGACTCCTCAGTGCCGGGCCTGCCTTCCTGCCCTCTTCCACACCCCCCTGCTAGGGAGTGTGATGTCGTGAATCCGTCTCTGGGCTTTCTCACAGGGCTTCCTGCTATTTGACAGTGAGAGGCCTGATAGTATTATGATATAAGGCCTTCTGAAAATAAGCCTGGGCTGGGGGCTTGCTCAAATCTGCAGGGGGTGGGGAGTGACTTTTCCATTTCCTAAAGCCCAGGCATCTATCAAATTACACTTTGAGAAAATGTTAAAGGTACAGACAGGTTCTCTGCTCGTGGTATTGCATTTAAATCCTAATAATTTTTCTAAAAGGACACTTCTAGGTTTTTTTTTTTGTGGGGAGGTGGTATGAGTTTTCTGTGGCTGCTGTAACAAATTACGACAAATATGGTGACTTAAAACAACAGAAACTCATTCTTTCACGGTTTTGGAAGGCAGAAGTCTGAAATGAAGTTGTCAGCAGGGTTGGTTTCTCTGAGAATCAGCTGCAGGTCTCTTTCCCAGCTTCTGGTGGTGGCCAGTAATCCCTGGCGTTCCTTGGCTTGTAGACTCCAATCTCTGTTTCTGTGGTCATGTGGCCTCCTCCTCTTTGTGTCTTGTCTTCTGTCTCTTATAAAGACACCAGTCATTTAATCCAGGATGATCTCATTCTCACCTTCATTACATTTGCAAAGACCCTTTTCCCAGAGGAGGTCATGTTCACATGTTCTGGGGTTTAGGATATGCACATATCTTTTCGGGTTCACCAGGCCACTATGGGGACATCTTCCAAAGCCACAGATTAGGGCAAATGCAGTCTGAAGGCAGGTGACTCCAGGACCTGCAGCTCTGCTAGAGGGACTTGGTTTTTAAGGTAACAGTGGCTGCCAGGCTGAAGAGTTTGGTGCAGGGCAGGTCCTTGCCCTTCTGGGCATAGGGACATCTCGTCTCCAGGTGGACATCACTGCTGGGGCCAGTGGACGTAGTGGGAGAGCTGAGTAGGCTGCAGTATGATGGAGCTGTTGGGCTACCTGTGCCCTGGGTAGTAGCCACCGGCTGTGTGGGGATGGGCTTTGTGCTTCTCAGGAGGGTGAACAGAGGCTCATATGAGCCCTTCTCTGACTAGCACTCTCTTCTGAAAGGGACTTAAAAAGAAAGCAGATGGGACCCAGGAACAGCGAGGGAGGCATTTGTTTTCCCGAGGAGCTTTTCCACATGGGCTGCACAGCAACATCGTCTGGGAGTTTGAAAAATGCTCCTGCTTGGGGCTCTGGACCAGTTGAATCAGAATCTGGGGCTGGGAACAGGCATTGCTTGAGACCCACCGCCTTTCCCAGAGGCTGGGTGCCCTTGCTGCCTGTCTCCTTCCTTCCTCTGTAGCACCGTGTAGGGCTGGCCATACATTAGGTACCAAGGATTTTGAAATTTACCATTTGCCCAGAAGTAGGTTGATTGCTTTCATCCTTCCTGGGTTTACTTAGGTTGAACTTCTAGAACAACTGGTTGGATTGCTGTGGGGGGTGGGGGGAACCAGCCTGCTTGCCCTTATTAGCTGTGGCCCTTCGGTCTAGACAGCTGGAAGCACGTCCTGCCTGGAACCTGTTGATCCCCACTGCTCATGCATGCTTTCCTTCCTGCTGGTCAATGCACAGAGAAATCCAGATGCCCAATAAGCACAGTAAGAAAGCATTTCACCCTCACTAGTGACTACAACAACACAAACTCAAACAGTAAGCGGAAAGTGGTGTCATAATAGCAGCAAATGAAGCCCTCTGTGTGCTGCCCTGTGATGTTGCCCCTTCCGATTGGGCCATTTCATGGGATGGAACAAGCCCTTAGGGAGTGTCCTCAGCCCTCTTAACCCTAAGAGACAATCGGGTGCTCACAGTGGCTTCGGCGTTGGCGAGGCAGTCAATGCACCACCAGAGGCTGTGGTAAGACGAGAGGCTACACATCTGACACGGGCCGCACAGCCAGCATGTTGAGCATCTCATCACATGGAACACGGACTGTAGTATGTTGGTGTGAAAAGGCCAAGAGACTGGCTTATGAATAACGTGTGACCCCAATAAAGAAGTAAAAGCGAGCTGGCCGGTTGGCTCAGTTGGTTGGAGCGTGGTGCTGATGACACCAAGGTCCAGGGTTCCATACCTGTACTGTCCAGCTGCCGAAAACCAAAAAAACTAAAAGCTGCAAGCACACACCTTGCTGATGTGGGCAGCGGGCTTAGCAGTAATTATGTTTTACATCTATATTTATATATTTCTAAATGCCTGTAATTTGCATGTATTACTTTGATACATAGAAAATATATGTACCTGCAAAGTCAGCCTGGTGTTAATGTAGCTCCGAGGTTCTGTCTGTGCCACTGACTGGGAGGGGCTCACTGTTGATACAGCTGTTTGTCAAAAATGGTGCAAGTGGCTGACTCAGTACCCCTGTGGGGCTGGTATTTCCCATGGCCGCCGTAACAAAAGTTACACAAACTGGGGGGCTGAAACAACAGAAATGTACTGGGTCCCAATTCTGGAGGCCAGAAGTCTCAGATGGAGGTGTCAGCGGGGTGGGGTTGGGTTCCCTGTGAGGGTCATGAGGGAAGATCTGGGCCTCTCCAGCTTCGGCTGGTGGCTGCAGTCCTTGGCATTCCTCTCCAATCGCTGCCTTTGTCACCACGTGGCCTTTGTGTGTGTCTCCATGTGTCCTCTCTTTTTATAAGGACACCAGTGTCAAAGGTAAGCAAAGCAAACATTTGTTAAATCTCTGAAACCAGAGTTTTTTGAGTAATTGCTGACAGTGGGGGAAAGAGCTGAGCTCTATCCTGGCCTGTGCAGAGGTGACTGTTTCAAAGGGAGAATGTGGGAGTTGGGAGGGGGCGAGTGGGGCTCAAGTGAAAAGTGACAAAGGGTAGTCAATGTCCATGTGAGGCCAGCCGTGTCTATGAGCTACCAGTTATCGAAGTTAAGATTCTGTCCTCCCACAGAGACAGGGAGACAGGGGCCCTGTCCTCCCTGATGATGACATTGCAGAGGAATGCACAGACATCTCAAAGAGACAGAGGAAGGATTCACAGTTGTAGGCCCTTTCTGGTAAACGCTCTGTGTTGGAACAAATAGTCGCTTCTTTTCATGGCCCTGAGTGTTCCCAGATAGGAACTCAAAACGGGGTTAGAGGCATCCTAGGATGCAGCCTCAGGCTTCCAGAAGCTGTGTTAAAATTTGGTCAAGGCTCTTAGTGCAGGGGTTTGAATGGAGTGTTCGTGCCGAGAGTGCCATCTCTCTCTCCTCTTTGGACACCTGGCTGGCCTCCCACCCCCGGCCACTCCTCAGGCTCGTTGCTGGCTTCTCCAGTCTTCAAGCCTAGTCCTGGGTTCTTGTCTCCTTGCCCAGACACTCTCCCTTGGTGATCTTGTCCAGTGTCAAGGCCTTGATGCTGACGACTCTCATTTCGATCTTTAGCCTTGATCTCTTCCTTTATGCACATGAACTTGGCATCTTACACCAGCCTGTTCAAACTAGAACTGGGCTTTTAACCCCTCCCCAACTCTGACCATTTCCTTTCCATAGTCCCCATCTAGCTACATGGCCCAGTGTGCCCAGTTGCTTAAGCCAGAAGCCCACAAATTGGCCTGATTGCTCTTTCTCTTGCCCTCCATGTCATGTCTCCTGCTGGTCCACTGTGCCCAGCCACACCACACTGGCCTGTTTTCTCTTCCTTGCATGTCTTACTTAAGGCCTGTGTCCCCATTGTCCTCTCTGCCCTCCTGGGAATGCTCTTTCCCCTCAGCTTTGCATGGCTGAGTTTTTTTTTTGTCGTTCAGGTCTAAGTTTAAACATCATCTCCTTCACGTAAACTCTTTATCCTAAATCGCATTACACTGTTTTAATTCCCTGGCTGGCAGTTCAAATGACCTAGTTTTCTTCTTTTCTGTCCCTCCACTAGAGGGAGAGCAGGGGCCTCATCCAGCTCATTCAGGCAGAATCACCTAGAACAACGCTCAGCACATTTATTGGTGTTGTGAGCTTGTCTCGAACTCCATCAGGATTCCTCTGTCAGTATTTTTGCAGACATCACACTGTCACCATAAGTGGTGCTTGGTAGAAATTGCTGCATTCATGTGATAGAGATAACACTGAAAGCCTATTTTAGAGATGTGATGACTAACTTGAGGAGACTCGGGTCACATGGACAAGTCCCACTCTGCTCCCTTAATCTCTCTGAGCCTCAGTTTCCTCAGCTGTAAAGTGGGCAGAACGCCATCCGTGTGCTGCAGAGCTACTGCTGAGAGGGTGCACATAATGCACTGAAGGCGGGCCCGAGCCAAGATGGAAGAGAAAACTGTAAACGCAATTCCAGTTTAGACTGTGCCCCAAACTGGATTTTCCATTAGATTATAATTCCTCTATTTAGGGTTCAAAATGTTGCCCAAGGAAAGCCAATTGGTGGTTGCCTAGTGGTGGAAGAGTTGAGGGGAAAAGGGGAGGTGAGAATGTCCTGAAAATGGTCATGGTGATGTATTGGACATATCTATGAATATACTAAAAACCATTGAATTGGAAACCACTTTAGATGGATGAATTGTACTGTATGTTAATTAAACTTCAATAAAGCTGTTATTAAAGAAATGTCCAAGAGACCCACAGCCTCCATAGGCTCCCATGGGAATGCAAATGAAGACACAGAGGAAGACAATATTTCCACCCTCTCCTGAAGCTGGTTTTTTTTTTTTTTTTTAAAAGATGACTGGTAAGGGGATCTTAACCCTTGACTTGGTGTTGTCAGCACCACGCCCACCCAAGTGAGCTAACCGGCCATCCCTATACAGGGATCTGAACCCGGGGCCTTGGTGTTATCAGCACCACACTCTCCCGAGTGAGCCACGGGCCGGCCCTCCCTGAAGCTGTTTAACACGTGACCATTTGATGGGCTCTTGGTGCTATTTCCATTAACTCTATGGGCAGTAGAATTGCAGGGGAGAAAGGGTGGCTGTCTCAGGAAGTACGGTGATCCCACTCAGGCCTTTCCCTGGAGACCCAGGTTGGCACCAACCAGAAAACCAGCAGCTGCTCCTCTGCTGGGCTGAGGCTGCTTTCTCTCCAGTCATTCAGAGGCAGAGCCCCCAAAGAGGGAATGTGTGTGTGGGGGGAGGAGATGGCCAACTGATGGACTCGGCAGGCCTGTGTGGTACCTGCCGGACAGTTAGGAAGGAAACGGAGACCCATTCGTCGAGTGTTATAGTACTGGGGCTTGGGGTAGGATTTGATTTCTTAGTCTGGCAGAGCCACAGTAGACAAATGTCTGCTATATCTGGAAATAAAGCTTCTCCTGCATCTAGTGGGGTCATGGCCACGATGAAGGTCTGTCTGTCTACCCTAAAAAGCATTGCAGAATAAGCCATCTGTGGGAATAGTGATAGGACAAGTATTGCTGCTGAAACTGCTGTGGAAGGTATGACTCAAGATTAAATATTTTAGAACTCTGTTCAATGTCACCTCTCCCCCTGGGTGACAGAGATGGAGACACAAAGTATTACTCAAAGCCCATTTCTCCCGAGCAATGAGAGGCCCAAAGGGGTTAAATCCCAGGAGACGACTTCTTCAAGACAGAAGGAATTCCTGGGAAATGACCCCAAACTAGGTTTTCTCTTGGTTTTTATTGTCGAGCCCAGAAAGTTACAGAAAAGAACACAGGTGGTTAATCAGTCATAGTGAAAACATAAACAAACTGGCTACATAACAATTTTCATTAAAGCAGGTGCAACTTTCTAAGAAACTTAGAAAAGCAGTTGAAGGCGAAATGTGGAACTAGCCGCTGATTGGCAGAGTAGCCTTGAAGCTTTCAGTATACATATTTTCCCATAAGTGGGTTTAGCTGCACCAAGGGCATCTGCCCGTAGAGCAAGCACCTATGCTGTGTTACAATTCTCATATCCCCACCAGAGACTTTTTAGTCCTGTGAAAGCTTTCTGTTTTTTCCCAAGCTTAGCATTTCTATGTGCAATACTAAAAGGTTAGGTTATTCCTCAAACTACAAGGCTTTGGCCTTGCTAAAACTACGGGGTTGTGGCCCCACTGTGCTACAGCCTAAACTAAAGTGCTTTGGCCCTTCTAACAGCTGAGGACTGTGGTCCTACTAAGATAAAGATCCTACTAAGCTACAGCCTGATCTAAGGACTGTGGTCCTTCTAATCTAAGGGCCATGGCCCTACTAGGCCAAAGGTTAAGGCCCTGCGAAATACATGCACTTTATTAATGTTAGTACCCTCACAGTTAAAAGCAACTGAGAGCCAACAAGAGAGTAAAATCTAAGAGGAACCAGGAGTCTAAGCAGAAATAGATCACAGAAGCTGCTTTTGTTCCGAGGATGGTGGCCAACCTGGGCAAAGTTGGGTTTTGGTTTCAGAGGTTGCACAGGCAGGGGAGACAGCAGGCAAGGCCCAAAGCGTTACTGAAGTGTCGGGATTAGGTTCCCCCCTGAAAGAATGACAGGACCCGAGCTGACAGTTCACTGGAGAAGTTCCGCTTTATTCGGGGG